ATATATATATATGTATATACAAATTAGTTAGGTTAGATATACAGCTACTTTCTCTTAGTTCAATGAGAAGAAAGATTTTTACTAATACTGTTTAGACAAGATATCATGTCTGCATCTTGTACTATGAGTAACTACTATGAAGACAACAATATGCAATGTATTAATTATTGTAACTATCCTACTAACCTGTTTTGAATCTGTCTCATTGCTATTTCTTTCTCAATAAAAATTAAAAAAAGAAATAAATTGTATTTCTGAAATCTAAAGGTAAAAAACAATAGCATCTAGAAAATGAAATATATAGGAATCTAGTTATGCTACTGAATTTGGTTACTAAATCTACAAGTCTTAGTGGAGTTTTGGAATCTTCTATGTATAGTAATATCATCTGCAAATAAGGATTTCACTTTTTGCTTTCTTATCTCTTTGTCTTGTGTAATTGCTGTGGCTAATGTTTCCAGAAGTGTATTGAATCAGAGTAGATAGTAGACATCCCTATCTTGCTCCTGATATTATTTTATTTTTTGTATTTTTAGCACAGGGTCTCACTACACAGATCAGCCTAGTAGTGATCAGTCTGTTTTCAGTCTCCCAAGTGCTGGGATTACAAGTGGGCACCACCTCTCCCAGTCTTAATCTCCATCTCTGTGTGCCCCAGGGGTGGGGCTGGCACAGGGAGGATCAAACCCGTGTCCCTGCTTAGGCAGGTGCTTTAGTCCATTGAGCTATCTGGCCAACCTTTGTTCCTGATTTTAGAGTGAAAGACTTTATGTTTTAACCATGTAATATGGTAAGTGTTCATTTGTCAGAGATGGTTTTTATGTCAATCTGACAAAAACACCTATTCCAATTTTCTGTAGGGCATTTTTATTTTGATATCAAGAATTGAACTCAGGACCTTGTGCTGGCCATGGCCAGACAGGCACTTGTGCTGCTGACCTGTATCCCCAGTCCTTCTATAGTGTTTTTTTTTATGATGAATTGGTGTGGGACTTTGTCAGATGCTTTCTCTGCATCTTTTTTTTTTTTTTTTTTTTTTTTTTCAGACCCGGGGATTGAACTTAGACCCTTGCGCTTGCCAGGGAAGCGCTTATTCCACTGAGCCATCTCCCCGGCCCCTTTCTCCGCATTTATTGAGATGATCATTTGATTTTTGTCTTTGGTGCTTTTAATATG